TACCCTCTCGCTTCTGAACCAATTTTGTCTTCTATTTCTTCTGATTAAACAGCAACCACTAGCGAACTCTGAAAACCTAATGAACGCTGGAACCGAGAAGCTTTCCTCGAAGTCGACGTTTTCGACGCGTCTTTTCCACCCCTTTCCTGTACGCGACTTACGCTTTGCCCGAGCACTGATGATAGTTTTTGCTCGGCAAGATTTTTTGCCTAGCCCACCCCCGCGACCACCCCCGGGGGTGGATGATATATGACCGCCCCCGAGACACTGGCCACCCCCGCTGGGAGCAGCCAAGAGAGAGAGAGAGAGAGGTGAAAAAGAGACGAGACGAGAGAGATACATCCCTGATTCCGGAAGAATTCCTTCTGTAGGTGCGCGCGCGCGGAGCATTCGTGTTTGAAACGGTGGATCGTTAGTGCGGGAATTCGTTGGGGTTGCGTCTTGTAGGTGGTAATGCGAGTTCGATTAATTTCTCTTTGTAAGTCTCTCTTGTTTTTTGTATAGTTTGTTAAATTCTGAGTTACGAGCAAGGAGTCTCCGTCGAAGATGAGTTAGGCCATAGCTTTCCAAATTTTTTGATTTGCCGGCCCCTTTTTAAAATTTTTGCTGTTCAGCGCTCCCTTCGGGTAAACTATCTCTATTATGAGAATTTCCAAATGCAATTGTGTGTGTAATCTTTGAATCTTAAAAAGTTAGGAACCTATGAGCTAACAATTTCGTGGAACACAAAAGGAAGCTCCCATCGAAAAAAAGGGAACGTAAAGATCGTAAAGTACCGAGAACAAGTGTTTCAATTAAACCGATCGAAGTGAACGCCGGTGAATTGTGTATTCCCCGTCGCTTAGAGAAGCTTCATAAACTCGAGGATGTCAATTACCGTGAGAGAGTCGTCGTCGCCGAGGCATCGAGCAGCACCCCACAGGCCAATAGCAAACGGCGAGGCGGCAGCTTATGAAACGATACAAGGAGAGGTGTCGAACCGAAAACGCGTCGATATTTTACGAACGGAAAGATCCCCCTGGAAAATTTCTTCGATGGAGCGCATAAGAAAAACCATGCCCCCGAAGAGGGTAAATCTTTCAGGAATTAGCGCAATATCAACGGTATAAGCAAACGACTTCTTCCAAGGGGTGGAAACATGTGAATTGCGAAGGCAGGGGAGAAAAGGAATGGAGGAGAAGTGTCGAGTGTTTCCATGAGAGAAACAAGGGTAGGTGGGGGGTTGGTTCGACTCCGTGGACTGGCTGCAAGGCCTCCTGCAATGAATCAACTTATTTAAGGGTAGTTGGATTTCGCGAGTCGATGCACGGCGACTACAACCACCCCCTGGGTGTCCCTCTTCCCTCCACGACGCAGCACGCCTCGTAGAATGATTTATAGTTTTCCGTCCGTGGCCACCCATCCCCACCTACCCAGCCACCCGCCATCCCCTCGCGCGAACGGCACCCCTTTGCCAAATGTACGCAAAATAGTCGGAATTTGCTCACCGGGCAGCCCCCCACTGGCGAAGTTAAATCCCGGCTACGAACATGGAGTGCCGAGGATATGAAGTAACGAGTCTCGATAAAGATGTTCTGATAATCGTCGATGATTGGATGTTTAATAAAGAGGAGAAAGAGAAAAAAAGCAAGTGGGTGGAGTGATGAAACCGAGTGATCGATGGATAGGTGTGAAGTGTTCCAGTCGACACTGTTCGTTCGATTAGTTTTGCATTCGTGGGCGTTTCGCGTGTCTTCGTCGCTTTGCACGCGAACGAATTTCCTCGCTGGAAATACCCACGAAGAGCTACAGCTTTGTGGCGTTTGAAATTGAAAATTCTAAAAAAAAAAAAGAAATCAAGAAAGGTGCCTAAGACACGAAAGGAATCGTCCCTGAAGGTTCTACACTCGAGGGGGGGGGGGTTCTCTAAATAATTATTAATGACTGGCCGAAAATGTGACTTCGATCGTGTTGACACTGCATTGTAAGCCACAGACAATGCTCCGGTGGTTTTCTAAGCGTGTGCCACGGGGGGCTTGATGGAGGATCAGAACAGGCGGCGTTCGAGGGCACGGGCCGTAATTAATAACTTGGAATTGATTAAGGTGTCAGATAAGTCCATGGAGCTGGTGCCTCGGTGGCTCTTTCTCCCTTTCTCCGAGGCGGCGACTGCGGCGGCTCTCTTTCTCCATCGGCGAGACGCGTTACGATATGATTAATAATTTTGAGATAACGCCGCCGCCACGTCCCTGCTGAGTCCCTTCGCCCCGTTGTCCCTTTGAAAGGGACCGATTTGCGGCCCCACTTACGGCCTCATAAATGACTAATTATTCTCTCACTGTCTCCTGGCCGCTTTCTAACCGCAATACTTGAGAAGGAAATCACGAAATCGGCCACATCCTCGGTTCAATCTACTCAATATCGAATAATCAAGTTCTGAATGAAAACGTCAGCATCAGAACTAGGATCAAGCCTGACTTGTATTCAATGGAATATATTCGAGAAGGAACAGTTATCGAAACTTTTAATTTCAGAGAATTTCATAAACCCCAGAGGATCTTTCGATCACAGCTGATGCAACATGGCGGAGCTTAATGGTCGTGGATACCGTTCGCGACGTATCGGGGGCAATAAAAAGACGAAGAGTGGGGGGTCTTCCCGATAGAAGTTGAGCGATCGTCTATGCAAATACGTAATCCTTTCGCGGATCCATCCAGGTGACGTTGACGGATTGGGGAAGGACTTTGCTCGGAAGCCCGCTCGAACAGATTGCAATCCACGGAACCATTTGTTTCCCCCCGTAGTCGCGAAGAGGTTCCCGGGAACTGACGACGAACCGAGTCTCTCGATTAAGGGGGGGCTCGTTAATTGCCACCGATCGAGGAAACGAACGCAACAGACGGCGATCTTATATTATCCGAGAACCTCCAGAATAACAAAAAGTATAATCCTCGCACCTTGGACGATTCGATTCGAAATTCGAGACGAATGATGAAGACGATCATATCTGTATGTACAGTGATTCGTACGGGAAGAACAACTGTCTTCAAAAAATGGACAACGAAGATGTCGCAGTGCTCCCGCGCGAATTTAAGCCCGCCAATGAAACAGGAGTGTTAAATCTTTCTGACACCAGCGCAAAAAAACAGAGAAAAAACACCTCTAATGCCTGGGGAAGGGTATTACGAGGAACACACGCGGGCTGATTATACGCTTCCTCCTGGACGGTCAAGATTGACGGATTCAAATTTGCTGGGGCTTAAGTCCCGCGGGCTCCGCACGGTTTACAGACAGCCGGCTAAACTGGGATCAACCCTTTACGCGGATTACGGCGTGTGTCATGTCACGCTTGATTTCGGTACCGGCCAAAGGGCCGTGGAAAACCCGAAATAAGTGGCCAGTATTCGCCCTGTTAAGCATTTGAAACGCGAGAGGGCCAACCTTATCGTTCTTGTAGAAGGACGGTAATGAACAAGTGATTAAATTTTAATTGCTGGGAATGATTAGCCTGGGGATGGCAGTCGTTGAACAAACGGTGTCTGACGGAATTTTCGTGAAGATTGGGATAACAAGAGTCTCGTGGAGGAGGTGTTAAAGGGTTGTAGAATTCGGAAAATGTAGATTCTTCAGAGTTGTACGAGGCTTACAGAATTTTAGGAAACAGTGACACCGAGTGGAATATGATTGCTCTCGCACCATTCAGATCCTATGGAGCAAGAATCCAGAAGAATGCAGAGGTCCGTGAATTTCATCCCCTCTACACACATTTCGCAGTATTCACAGGGTCAATGGGAACGGTTTGAAATGGTGGAAAATATTTTTCCAGACTCCGATGCCATTGTCCTCACTCGTGTTTCTCTCGATGATTAATTTTTCAGACACCCTTCTATGCGATGGTAAATACCGAGTTACGGTAGGGTTTCTCGTTCACGGGGATTTATAGACCTTGAACTTTTTTCGGGGCTGGATAACATAATGTGGAGATATTCGATAGATCTGTGTATTAGACGTTTCGAATCAGAAGAATTCCGAATACTCGTCACAGGGGTTCTTCAGAGTCTAGGATACAGTAGTGGCGAGGTGGAAGGAAGAAGGTGGGGGGGCAGCAGGGGCGCATTAACGAGCTTTTCCTAATTATGAGAAAAAACTGGACCGCGCGATTAAGGGCTGCGGTGGTCTCCCTCATCCTCGTGTGGATGCCCGACCAGGAGCAGCACGGAAAACTAATTGAAACCGCCTAACGACCTACCGGCAAATGATACATCAGCCTCGAGGAAACCAGCCCCCGCCGTCTTAATACCGTTTCGCCTTATTTGACGCTCATCGGCGGCCGCAATTTCGCCCCTTTTGCCCAGCCACCCCCCACCCCCGAACCGATTTTCCGGTAGTCCCCGAAAACCGTTTCGACCTGCTATCGTCTTTCGTCGCTTAATTGCACGCTCGAACGAAGATCGAAGACGTTTCCTAACCGGATGGAATGATTTATCGCCGTTTCTGGCTTGTTTCACGTGTTGTCCTTTCGGTGGGTGTTTGTTTAAGCGTTTGGAAAAAGAGACACACCGGTTGATTGTTTCATTGTCTGCGAGATGTTTAAGGGTGGAATGGGGCTTGATGAGTTATTTTATGCAGGGTGGGGTGAATCTTAAGTAATATCGAGGGACCCTGTTAGTCTAAATCAGCTGAGGGAGTCTGAGAGAAAATTCTACCCTCTTTGTTTTAATTAATAATATAGTTTGATAATCTTGAATAGTACATTCTTGGCAAGAACAACGAAGGATATGAGGAGAGACTGAACGGTTGAACAACTTCTACGTTACAAAGTGGTAAGTTCAAGACTTAACCACTTGACCATGGACTGTGAAATGCTATGGCCATCTAGCGGTGTTAGGATTGACTGTTGAACTTTATGGAGGTACTACTAGCGCCAGCTAGCGTTGATTTTAATTTACAAGTTCATACAATCACCGAAAAGTGGCAGCACTTAGTAGCAGTTATTAACTTTTAAAATTGTATGGACTCACCGAACAAAAGAACGCCAACTGTCCAGGAAGCCTTTCTCCAGTATATAAAATGCCTTCTCCGGGTCCTCGCATCTTAGTATCTCGTTCCGATTTTTCCCGTGATACAGATCAATTAACTCGTCCTTCTGCTGCTTCGCCTTTATCTTGTCATCCTTCTTCGCTCTCTGGGCGGTCTCCATCTTTTCCTAAACAACAAAATGTCTAACTGCATACACAATTACAACACTCGACTTCCCATTGAAGCTGAATTCACAAAGTACCTCGCATATAGAACAGGATGCAGATCCAATTGAATATTCCTTGGACTCCGGGAAATATTTCCGAAGAATGATCCAGGCTTCACGGGGTACCACTTTCCTCGTCGAGTCAGGTGTTTTCAGGGAATTGTGCTCGCAGAGCAAATCTTCGTTGAAGTAGATTATCACCTCGTTTTCTTCGCTTTCCTCCACTTCTTTCGACCCATCATTCTCTTTGCTATTATTTTTACCTTCTTCTTGTGGACTGTTCACGTCCTGACCATCTTCATCTTTAATTTCATGCTCCAAGTTATCTATGAATTTCTCCATAGCCAACCTTCGCCAGGACTTCAATGAATCCGCACCTACGATATAACTCGTCTCAATCCTGTAACCAATAAAATAGAAATTATTAAATAAATTATTGTAGATGATACGGTGAAAACGAATACAGATAACTTACGGCTCTTTGAAGGTGCGAATAAGTTCGCTGACTTCTTTATGATCGCGTTCCAATGATATTTTATACCGAAGCAATTTGTATCGACGCCTCACGCAAACTTCGCAGAGAAAATTCTGATCCAATCGTGGACCTCCGTGATATTTTTCGAAGAGCAAATCCGCGGCTGATTGAGGCATGCACTTTGCACGATTCACTTTTAATGGATCAAGACGATGATGCGAACAGATTAAGGATGAGTTGTCGATCGGTGGTACTCCTTCGGTAAATGTGTGACCGTTTAACCATTTTGATAGCCAGTCACTGGGAATCCATTGGTATTTATCCCATGAGGTTGTATTGGACACGATATTGTAGATATCTATCACGAGTTGCCTTTTTAAGTTCTGATCTTCGATTTCCTTTTGCTGAAGATGAAATAAGTTATTTAAAACACCATCTTCTTTAATATTGTTTTTTCGTGTTTATAGATTAACTCACGTCCGCCGTGAAATGGACCAATGAGAGGTCCATCACGTGACTAGACGCGCCGCCATTGTTGTTCTGACGTGTTCTATCCTTAACTGAAATAAACTATACGTACCTTTTCTTGTTGGATAGCCAACAAACTTAATTCATGCTTCACATTTTCTTGCCTCACTACGTCCCGTAACGTAGAACTAACTTCCCAACTCTCGAACTCCATCTGTAAAATAACAATCAAATATATTTTTCAATAAAATGTTTTTATTATTAGAAAAATAACGGTCTCTTACCTCTTCATAGAAATCTCGTTCTCCACAACTCATGGCCCTATGCGCAGCACCGTTCAGCCTTTTATAGTCTACTTTCGTACCCGGTGCCAATGGTCTTTTTATTTCTGCTTCAAGCTGATTTTCTTTGTTGTCAGACTCATCATATTTTCCATTCCGTTCATTAGACGCGAAATCAACATCATGAGAAGACACTGCGAGCTCTGTGTCTATTCTATTTTCTCCATCCAATTTCAGTACTTTTCCAGGAGTGTCCAAATTGGAAACAGTAGAATCTGGTCCATTCTTACGTTTACCTTCGTCAGACGAATCCGATTTGTCTATCTCACTATGAGTGATGATATTACGAGTAGTAGTATCGGCTTCCGGTTTTCTTAATTTATTCTTCTTACTATAGTTTATTCGCCCGTCCATAGGTACTCTCTTGTAGACCAACATATATGCGGTGTTGGATGAAAGACAACCCTTTGGTATACGCCCTCGTTTTACAACTTTCGTAGTATCTGCAACCAATAAAAAATACTCATCTGTATGGCACAATCTTTTTGAGGTATGATAATATTAGAAAAAGTTTTAAACTTACCGTTAACGCTATCCTCAATTCGTTTGTTCTGCATTTTCTCCACTTTATCGTCACTAAATTGATACCATTCTCCGTTTGAATTACATATATTCGCAATGTAATGACCCGAATGCGCAGATGGCCCTTTATGACTTAGAACCGCAACAAGATTGTACACCTGACTCTGGGATGGGCATCTTACATATTCAGACATATCAAGATCTTCTGGGAACTGTATAAAAGAATTCAACTTTCTTTTCTGCCCAGAATCCCTGACCAAATAAAGCAATATATATGATTCATTAATATAAAGGATGCTAGGCATCAATAGATATTAATAAAGAAGAATGTACCTATGGAACACGAAACGCATTAATTGAATGTTCAACGTTTCCGGAAGCGATTCCAAGCGTATAAATCGTCGTGCATCCTTTTTGTCATTGCAGGTAACACAATGATATTGATTTGCTCCAGTCAGTTGCTCCACGGACAAGTATTTCTCTATCGCCTCCTTGAGGGTAGGTGCAAGCTGCAGGTCCAACTCGTAGTATGTCGTCGAAGTTGGATATTCGGTACCGCATGTAGAGCAACTGCGTCAGACATAAAACCTCGGTTATTCAGGAGGTATTAACTTTCCTATCGGTCAGATCAGTTGATCGCATCAGTCACCGCAGCGAGCAACGTGTCCTACCATGTTCTCATCGTCAAGATCATCAGCATCATCATCGTTTAGGACAATTCTCATTTGTTTTCCACTTCAGAAAACCCACCAATTGATATAGCTGATTTTCCCTTGAGTCAGCGCCTGCAGCATCTGCCTCAGTTGTGAAGTTTGTTGTAGCTTCCCTTCGATATGGCACAGAAGCAGCTTGGAGAATTCCTGCGCGTCCTGCTGAGTTCTAGTGTCCAGTGACAATGCGATAGCCAGATTCAGTGGATCAAGGAGACGTCGGTTTCCGAATTGCATCATTGCAAATATATATTGCAACTGGCCAACTGCTGTCACTGGATGAAATGGTACTCCTGCCTTCTTAGCTTGACACAGTGCCTCCCTTTCTTCTGTATCATCCGTGATGTTCCATTTGTATATAATCCTCCTGGAAATATTCAATTACATTTTCTATTAGATACTTACGTATGAATGAAAATTAGTATTGAATTATTTTCAATACAAACCTCATATCTTCATTATGAAACCACATTTGAATTAAACTGTTAACGTAGCACGTGGCACCTAGATTCTTTAAACCAACATATTCTGTTGGATCACGTAATTCTGATAAAGAACTTTCTAAAGACATTACTTCGATCAGTTGCGATTTCATATACTTTTCTTCCCCTAAACCTGTTAAACATTGTGGATTGTTTGTGCAATTACGCCTGAAAAAAAATATACAGTTAATTTCATAGAACGAAGTAATAAGAACATCTTCTTAATAAATATGTAACTTACTTGCAGTTTTTACAGGTTTTTAAACCTATCCTATAAGCAGTTTCCAAATGTATCCTTTCTATTTCTTCAGGTAAAACCCCTTCTACCCAAGTCCATGCTAGTTTATCTAAATCAGTCTTCTTTATCGGTGGCATTTCTCTGTAAATAATATTAAATAAGTTAAATACATGATTAATTTATATTATTACTTTACAAGAAACAATAATACTTTAATAGATGCAATACATCTGTTAAAAGAAGTTCAAAGATTCCAATAATTGATAATGTACGAAAAATAAAGCAGGAAAAAAAGTTAAATATTCTAGACAAAAACGTTCACTGAAATGAATGTCTCTATTTAAAAATATTGCGAGAAATTATTGTGACTGTACAACGCGATAAAGTGCATGTTTCATTTCGCGCCATGAGAAACTCGCGATTCACTAGTAAAATAAAAAATGGAACGATAGTGGCAGTTGATGCAATCGATTTCACTATATTTAAACAGTCGAGAAGATCATTTAAAAAGAACTGAATGACGTATACAACTGGTAACAAATGCACAGCACATAAACAATCTTATACGTCCAAAAATCATAGATCGAATACCTGCACGAAGGTGTAACTCGTTGAGAATGGTCGAGGTTATGAAAAACGCCGCTACAATCTTTATGACATTCTATTTTTCTTTCACAACATTATCAGACTGCAAAAGAGCCCTATTGCGATCGAAAATCCACTTAATACTATTAGCTATCAATACTTTTCGTTAATAGATGAAGAAGTATCATCAAAACACTGTAACCGTCTGATGTACACTAATCGCCATATGCAATTGGTGTCTCCTAAGGCGCGCGTCAAATCAATCTCTAAATAATACAATATATCAAAACTAATGAAAAGTCTGTTTTAGAAAAAAATACTACAATACTTATCAAGATAAAATTATAATATAAATATTGTATGAAGTATATTTAATTAGGATATTTGTGCTAATGAAGAACAAAATTAACAATACCTGATGACAATAAAATCCTAAATCATTCATTCAAGTAAAAATTCATCTTTTCCAGGTGGAGTACTGTAATTATAAAAATGTTGCAGTTATGAAATAGTTGTAACTGTGAACACATTTTGAAACAGAATTAAAAATGTCTCAGGACAAAATAGGTAAGTCCTACTAAATAAAACAGAAGGATACAAAATATTAATTAAAATTATTTACAGTTGGTAGTGATATCTTGTTGGAATTTCTGGAAGTAGCTTTTAATCATATATTGTTCTTTAGAAATTTATATCCTAAAGAAATCTTTGCGAAAAAGAAGATATACAGCACAACAATATATGTATCTGAACATCCAGAGCTTAATGAGTACTTAAAGAATGTCCTTAGTGCTATTAGAGAACTAGTCGGTGAAGACGAAAACAGTGTGAAAGCAGTGAATCTTGTTATCTATAACAGAAGGAAACAACCAGTTGAAAAATTTGTTTTTGATCTTGTTCAGTTACAAGCAAATAATATAGAGTATGTATTTGCATCAATAACTTATTAATCATCTTATAAATCTTACAAAATACCTTGGTGATTGCTATAGGAAAGATCCATATTATTTAAAAACAGAAGAAGCTCTTAGAACAATTTGTTTAAAATTATCCATGTGTGAAGCGTATCTAAAACCATTGGAACAGAATTCAACTTTTTCTATTGAAATACAAACAAATGAAGCTGCCCATGTAGGTTTGAGTGAAAACCCACGGTGTGAAAATTTTCCATGGATTATCAATGAAGAAGCCCTTGAAATGACTGATAAAAATTTATTGCCACTGAAAACCATTAAAACCGATTGTTTAAATTTACAAATGTATGTTGTTGAAAGTGAAGTAAATAAAAGTACTGACTAATTTTACCTATAGTATATAAATAAATAAATTCTCAGCTTCCTTTAAAAAATGTTCATACTTCCAGCAACATTCATATTTTCTTTGCTCGTTTGCAAAGAAACATGACGGAATCACATAATTATTAAACCTGTTAAAACCGAAGATTAAATTACGGAAAATGAATGGTGGCGTTGACTACCCGTAGAAACGTGTACTAATTGTCTAATAGCTTGAGTGTTTTTATCATAGATGGCATGATGTACCTGTTAAACTGATTTACTTCAGTTCCCGCTATTCCTAGGTGGCGCTTTTAGTACTACAAGTTCGTAATTTTCAAGCGCGTGTGTATCGTGTAGCGCAGCGTTGTTTGTTAAATAATGCAGTGTAAATAAGAAAAGTTTGTGAATTTTGTGATGAGAAAAGTGTTCTTGACATGCCACTCTTCAACGGTGAACAAAATACTTTACTGGACGGAAAGACTTTGCTGAAAGATTGGACTCATGAATGGGAGCAGGTTCTTTCTTCGAAGAGTGAGTTATGGCGCCATATTTTGTTGATTTCAAGTGCTCATCAATTTCGAAATATTTCATCGAACTATCAAATTTCTGAATTTGTTTTTACGTAATTCTCATTAAATTCTTGTAGGACATCTATAAATACGCTCTATTGATCATTTATAAATATATGGATCCAAATATTTGTTTAATCGAAAGGCCGTTTCAGTATCAGTATGCCTTGGTTTGATTTTCTATACAGATTTTAAATATCTACAATAGATATTTTATTATCAACGGTCGTTTCCTCCACTTTCTACTCTTATGGTTAATCGATTTCCTCGTGGTACACGGTTTCAACGGAAGGTGTCAAAGTGGTTGATATTAAACAATGCTATCGATAGACGATACCACTCATATCTCTTTACCTGCACAAGTTTCCATTTCAAGATAGAATACCTCGTTGTCAATGGTTGATTCTGTTGCCACTGCTACCTATCCTACAAATATTTATGTAAATTCTTATTTTCAAATACTGTTAGCAACTGTACAAAACCATACTTAATACTATTAACCATTTCGGATTTTTCAAAAAGCAGAATCAAAGAAACATTACAACTTTTCATTTGTACGTTGCACAAATCCATACAATCCACAGGAAAGTTATCAACAATGGTAAGAGTGAAATTCTGGCAACGACTAGTCAACGAATACGTATCAATCATAACGGTTTTTTTCGTTTGGAAGTTGTTATTTCGGGATATATTTCTTGATCGTCGCTAAACTGCCAATTAACACCGACGTTTCGCGAAATGGCAGCGTCAACGCGTAAAGACGATTACCATCTCTCTCGACGAAAGCTAATTTACGCCTGTACACGCGGTCTTTGTTAGAACGCGATGGCTCGCAACGATATATAATTAACCCCGCGCACGAGCGCGATGTACAATAAAACTCGACGGATGCCTGGAAACGGAAAGAGATAGAGAGCATCGCGTCGAGAGACGCATCGACCGGCGATTCGAATGAAATAAACAACAAAGCAGACGCGCTAGTCAATTTCCGGGCTCTTGAAATATTAAACGGACGTTTAATTATTTCCACCTCGTGAGAAATCGAACGATCCTCCATGGATTACACTACCCAGCACAAACATAGTCCAGTCGTTAGCGAAATAATTACGCGTGCTTACTGGCTACCAACCGTGGGGTAATTATAACATTCCATTACTTATTAGGTACTATACACTACAGTAACTTCATTTCAAACCATTACACTTCACAGTACACTCACTTTTATTCCCCGACTATTAATTCTGCTACAATTCCCTTGGATTAAGGGTACTATACTTTATAATTTAAAAGGGGTCAAAAATAACGAATTCATTTACAAAGAAGCTATTGCACTTCCCCGAAAGATTGAAGAGAACAAAAACGCGTCCTCAAAGTAGCGGCAATAATTAAAGCGATAATTTTCCCTCCTGTTTCCTCCCGAAGAATTCACGTTATCCGCGACTCTTTAGTAGAAAGAGACACAGGGACCTTATCAATATTATCACTGGCTGGCGAGAGGGGTGTACGATAGGGCGGCGTAATCGGGTGGCGAGTGACGCTGGGTAGAGGGAAGAAGGCGGAGGGAGGGCTGGCTGCCGTGAGCGACGCAGGCGCCGTTCACGATCCCCTCAGTATATACCGTCGTCGCCGGCGTCGTCCTCGTCGTCGTCGTCGTCGCCGTCGCCGAGAGAGACGTCGGCCCCGTCGTGTGCCTCCTCGTCGTATTTTCAGTTCCGACCCGAGAACGACGGCGACTAAACGAAACCACGGGATATATAAACGTTTCTCTCTCTCTCTCCCTCTCTCTCACCCTAAACCAAGACAAAAAAGAGGCCGTCTCTGTTTCCTGCCTCGCCACTCGGCTGTGGTATTTTTTTCTTCTCTCGGGCACGCGCGGGTTTATTGTTTTTTTTTTCTCGCGAGGCTGTTCTCTATTTGTTGTTCGTGATGGTCGCCGGGTAGAGGAACGTAACCCCCGGGATTAAAAAGGTGGGAGCACGCGGGAAAGCAACAGTGTTCGAAAAGCAAACCTAACTGCCCTACCTCCCATCTCCCGTTCCACTCTCCCTCCCCCCTTAACCAAGGGGTGTGTTACTCGAGTGCCGGTGTGTTCGATGGAATTGTATTATCGTCCGCGGAACGGTACTCGGATCGTGGAATATATCCTCCGAAGACGTGGATAATAGGTCAGTGACGCAGGAACCTCGATTTTCAGTGCTCACCTGGCGAGGAGGCGTGGTGGCAACGCGGCGAAGAAGGACGACGGCTGAGAGAGAGACGACAGTTCACACAGTGATATCGAGTCGGTGAGAGGATCGGTGGCTGGATACGGGGAGAGGACAAATTCTTCTTTTTTTTATAAGTCGATTGTTACACGGTGTTCCTATACCCCGTCAACGGGGTGCTATCGAACCTGGATTTGGAATCAGAACGAAGGGTGAACGAAGCTGTGTGTTACGAAGCAGGGTGATTGCACGGTGCTTTTACGGTGTGGCAGAGTGTCAGTGGCCGTCGTCGCCAACAGGTTATACATTCGAGAGCGCAGATGTGTATTTCGAGAAATAATCGGGAGAAGAAGCCGCGCGAGACGACGTGCGTCGCGCGGGCAGCCGCCGGTTATTGTCACGGAGAATGAAGAAGAAGTACAAAAATAACTGTCCCTGAGGTGGTTCGGGCTGAAATGCACGATTGGCCGACCCCCCCGCGCGCGGAACCAGGACATACGATTCGGGGGTGTGTGCGCGCGTTACGGGAACGTAACCAGCGAGGATCGGTCACACGGTGAAATCAATCAGTTTCGGTGATAAACGCGACCGCGGATCAACACCACGTGCCTTCCTCGTCCGGCAGATCGAGGGTGTCCACCGTTTTCACCTTCCCTTCCCCATCTCCCTGTCCTCCTCTCCGCGACCCCGCCTGGTTTTTCATCTCCCTCCTTCCCCTCCCCATTTCACCTATATCGGCCATGATACTAGGAATTTTCTACAATCACCTGCGTCGCGATCACGCCGCCGAGAAACAGGTGTCGGCGTACGAGAAGCTGGACCTACGTTCGTCACGGCAACGTTGAGCTCCTCGTGCTTGGCCATCGAGGAGACCTGTCAAAGGAGTCGATTTTCCCTCGTGGTTAATTCTACCAAGCAACGCCAGTGGAAATGTCCGCGCAATGCATACCTCGGAGACGTCCACTGTTGTTCACTGGATCGAACGTAGGGAAGAAGTTTGACATCGAGCCGACCAGGTCGAATCTTCTTCGACGGAACTTCGACGTGACGTCGGTTGTCGCGAAGGTGCGGTCTGTCCGTCTGGAATATTATTCGAGACAGCTTTTCGCTACGGTGAAACGCGTCGAGACGTCGTGGTGCTCGCGAAACGGGTTCTTTTGGTTCTGGTGAACAGCCACAAAACGGAACCGGTTGTTGGTGGTGCCCAAGGAACGTGTCGGACTAAGGGTTGAATGAGAGAAAGAATCAACGTGTGCATAAATCAGAGAGGACGCACCGTTGTTTTACGATAAAGTCGAAGGCTTTAATCGCTACGATTCTACTATACTACCAGATCTCTCCTGGTGTCCGGTTCTGGAATTCGTGGGAACGCGGTGTGGCGCAAGGAACATCAACTATAAATAGATGTTTTCTCGCGTGGATCGTACGTTTTGACGGAGAGCAGACATTGGAACAGAAAGAGAGAGATATATAGAGTACGGACCTCGTGGACACGCACGTCGAGGCGACGCGAGACTATCCAACAATCTTCTCTCTTTCTGTGTCCTTGGATCCAACGGGTAGGATGAACCCATAAGTCAGCCGATGTAACAGGCACGTGCTGCTGCTCGTTGCTGATCATTAGACACATATATACATATATATATATATATATATATATAAAAAAAAAAAGAAAACACGTTCAAACTCTGTCCAGATCCAGCGTGTATCCGAATTTTCTACGATAGATACAATCAGAGGAAACAACGATCATCATCACCTTGCAAGGGGAACAAGTAACTTAGGGGACGTTCCACGAAGAGAGAAGGCACCATACGTGCCATCGTTTAAGTGGAACTTCCTTGGTGGCCACTTTTCCTCGTTTATTATCCTCCCCTTTTGTACGTACGCAAGGAAGCCGAAAGCAAAGGAACATCATTCGTCGTCCGACCAGCAACGAATCTTCTTCTTTTCTCACTCTCTCCCTGCCTTTCACCTCTTCTTGTCGTTACTTCGCCAAGAACAAAGAGGCCCCCGCGGGAACAAAAATCCGTGTGACGGAAGGAACGTGTCGCCGTTATTACCCGGTGCTTCTCTCTATCTCTCTATCTCTCTTGTCCTCGATGATCATTATGCTCAACTCGTGCTGTGCTTTTTTCTACTACCATGCTTGTACGCGTGCCGCGAGTGTTTTCTCAGTGCTGTAGTGATACGCGTTAATAATTACACAGGCTTAACGAGCTGTTACACGTTTCGAAAACGTCAAACGTCGTCGTCGGCCCAGGTACCTGGGAATATTCCTGAGATGCCTGTTAGACGAGGTCACGTGGCGCCTAGGACAACGATCATCGAAACCATCATCAGAAAGTTCGATACGCACGGTACGTTCTATCTTTTGTTCTACCAACGATATCCAGTCATAAACGACACGAAATGATTGAAATGAAAAATAACATTCAACCACGTTTTCGACATTCGATACGAGTAGCGATGGTAAACAGGTTGCAATTCATAGAGAATTCCGTTCTGTTTTTAGGGAATACGTTGCAGTTTATTTCAAACAGGCCACACCGTTCTTGTTTTCCCAATAGGGGACTTATTTCTCATTGATTAAACAACGAAGAAGTTCTTGCGATTATAATCGGGTGTTAATTCGGTTATTACGAGAGGGTAACATGGAATGGTAATTAAGCGAAATTATAAGTGGTACGCGCGCCACGTGTTACTTACACACGCTTGCCCCTCGATTAATTTATCACCCCGTGTTTACACATATCTAGATGAACCAACGATAACAAAACACTCTCGCCGAGAGATGGAAAATTTTAATTAAAAGCCGACGATCAATTCCACGGTTCAACCATCCACTTCCCCCCCCCCCCATCCTCTGTCCGCATTGATTAGGTTAACGGGGTTGATATTCGACCTCACAAATCTAATAAAGTAAAATTTATTCGGGAGTGCATTGACTACAAGCCACACGTATTTGTCTTTTTTTCTATAATATCCGAGAGAAGTCGCCTCGTAAACTTTAATGAAACTTCTCGAGTCTCAAGTGACGGAAGTTCCCGATACTCACGAGAAAGATTAAAATAAAGTTAGCGGGGTTTTCGGTAGGAGGATTGTCGTTCTCGGCCGAAGCTCTCGATATAATCGAAAGTTTTTTAGAAGCGACCGCCCCACCTGGGATATGGAACGAGCAGGCATCGAGCCAGAACTCCGTTTTCAATATTATTTAAAACATCTCGACGGAGGCGAGGCCTCGTTGCGGACTCGGGGAAGGGGTGGGGAGGACGAAGAGGTTCGGTTAAACGGAGGAAAGGGGTAGTTCTGTTTCACAATGGGACAATGCATGTCACTGGCAATATCACTCGAGGCATGGCTCAAGCCTTGCGAGGCAGCAGACCTGGAGAAACCAGACGACAGGGTTGGAGGGGGGGGGGGTTTAGATTGATTGTGCAGGGACGAAAGAGAGCCCGCCGATTTCTTTCGCATTGTCGCGATCCACTGACGTCAGTTTTCTCAAGGAAGATTAGTTTTCTGGAAAATTCGACGGCGAACACGTCTTTGAAACGGACATCACTTTGACCCTAGCTTGATGAACGCAGAGTCTCCTCGACCCAATAAGAATTCGTGTAATAAGTCGCGTAACAATTGCAGCTATTTCAAGTGTCGTAAATTGGGATAACTTTAACTCGGAGAGAGTGACTTTGTCGCCAGTCAGAAAATGATAATTTTCGATTTTGCTGGTCTGCAAATTATTAGATTAAGTCGATTTTTACGTAAAAAGGTATTTTCAAACATGACCATTTTCTGACACTGGGACAAATTTCCCCCAACTTACGGTATACAATTTTTGTACAGTTGCATCTTCAGAACTGTGTACAATGAAACTTTTTCCATCGTTCAGAATCACTCTGCATTCGTTAATCGTGTTTCTTTCGGGGTAAACAATCACCTTTTAGTCGAGATATTCTCGTTCCATAGATAACGAATGAAATAATAGATAATCCCAGTGATCTCTATCGTGAATCTATGACTATTTAATCGTCGATTACCTTCTCTCCTTGGATCGAGCCACAAAGAAGCGTGGAACCCCTGTCAATAACAAGACGGATGGTTTTTGTTCGAAAGTTGAACTTGGTGGCGTCGAGATAAAAAAGCCATCCGAAATAGTCTTGCCCCAATGACGGTGGTTCTGTTGCATGCTCCGAGAAAAACACGGTTGCATCGAAGAATTCGCGTGGCGGTGACGTGTTGACAAAAGAATCCTGGAAGTCGATGATAAACTGCCGAACTTCCATTTGTCGTTCTATCTGTCCCCTGAATACACGATCGAGCGTCGAACTGCATAATCTTCGCGCCGAGATTATTCCGTGCGCGAAGGTATCGATCTTTAAATTGAAATTAATTCCAATGATCGTCAACGAGCACGAATCTGACAAGTCGGCGAGAATACGCGACTCGACTCGCGTTCACGGTCTAGCTTACGAGGATTAAGTACTTGAAAGAGCCCGTATATACCTACTTCTTTGCATAAAGGTTCGGGCTCGTGCCAACAGATGCGATTTCCCCCGGTGGTAAAACATTTTGTCGCCTACGGAAACGGGGTAGGGGAAAAGAAATGAAGTATTATCGAGAGCCTCTAATATTTGGAACAATTTCGACTTACATCGAGAAAAATGTGTTCACTTCCTGCGATCTCCCTTTACATACCGATACAAAGTCCAAAGTTTTAATAGTCTATTATTCCCTTGCTCCAAGTCATTTTTACTCCCTTCATCGAGTGGTCGATCAAGGACGATCATTCAAGGTTCCCCTTGGTCAACCTGTTCTTCTCCAACTACCCTTCTACGCCGTCCATTTCCGTGTCCCGTCTTTCACAGGGGAAAAAAAACCGTTGATGAGGTCGCGGTATCATCGCTCGTTGACAAAAGCCAGCGGGCTGTCGTACAGAAGGGCGCACGGTAATAGGCATTAACGCGATAAATTCTTCGGGAAACCTTTGGAACGCCAATTTATATAATAAAAAATATGTATGCCAGCCCCTTCAGGGTGGGCTTTTGTCCCGGTGGCATTGCTGCCCGTCAAGCCTTGGCTTCTAATCTGACGTCCTCTCTATAGCAAGCGCACATCCAACCCCGTTCGCTCGTTTCGTTCTTTTTTTCTTTCCTCTTCTTCTCTCCGTTGCCCGCCACCTTTTCTCTCTCTGCTCGCCGTTCCTTCCCTCATCAGCCGGGGCCATCTTCTCGATACTCTTCACCTGTCCTCTTGGTATCGTAATCGAATACGACGTTGGAGGGCAATCTATCTTCTCTCTCTTTCTCACACACACACAGGCAAATACTGACACGAGTTCCATCCACGCCGTCGCGGGGAGGCAGCCTTGAGAACAGCTAAATAATTCTCGTTAAACGATTACGCAGTCATCGTCGAAACGTCTCTGTAGATCCCGCCAGGATTTTATTCGTGAATAACAAATGATCTCTCTACCAGGAGACTTCACATTCAATTGATTGAGACACTTAACCCGGAAATTTTGAGATCTTTGTCGCAACGTCGACGAATGGTATACAGAGGTCGACCCTAGCGTTCAGAGTTGTGCAAAATTGTAATCTAATTACAAAATCTAAATTACGATTACAATGTAATTGCAACGTAATTGCAGGACAATGTCAATTACATTTTGCCCAACTCTACTACCGTTACGGTCCCAGTTTTTTGGTATCTGTATACTACACTGATCAGGAATTGGATTCTGATGAGGAACTGGGTCTATAACGGTATATCGTCCTATAAGATCACGCTTAGAACGATATCGCCTCTATAACAAATAAAATGTTCAACGAACTATCCTTTGTTGAAGGAGGATCTTCATGAGATGTCCGTATGGTCGATTACAGGAAATTAAGATTAGGGATGTAATCGCATTAATTAATCGTGTTCAGGAAAGCAGGAGGGGGTGATTCGTGTCAAGGACAGGTGGTTCGTTAAGACCCGGGGCTGAATTTGTGCTCACGCGTAACCGCGACTCCGGTCGAGGAACGCGACACCAGGAACCTGGCACGGTGGCTTACACCGTTCTCGTGTAGCGAAGCTATTAAAAGTCGACAATTCGGATCCCCCCGCTTGAAATTCTACTATTCGCGGAGGGCTAGTGTTGTTCTGTTGCTTGTAAATCTCGCTTATCACGAAGGAACGATTTAATTACACCTGCCCGTTAAAGGCCCGCAAGGAACTCTTTACAAAACTGTCAAGGGTTTGGCAAATTGTTGCTTGGCGTTTACGACAGACCAGTGGGGGCATGGGAGATTTGATGGGTTTACGTTACGAAAGCCGGAGAGAAACGTACGAGGTTTCGAAATACAGTCTGGGCGGAGTTTAAAATTGGGAACAAAGAAAATCGAAGTTCTCGTAGTCACCGGGATTTAGCTATCCAAAGTTCCGCAGACCCACACAGACGATTTCTGGCAGCGTGGAGGGCTAAAACTCCGGGCTATCAGTTTTCAGCTCGATCATCCTCTTGTCGACACCTTCCCTCTTCTTCCTCGAGGTGGGAAACGCGTTCGTCGAGCAAACAGACGGGTTGCTCGTACAAATTCATAAATTCCAATCGGATCACCGGTGATTCATCGACGTCGTTGGGTCGGGGGCCGGCTAGATCGGGACCTCGAGGAGCTCTCTGACCCACTTATACCCCTTTTCCACGAAAAATCGCGCGGAGATAGGAGGGAAAAACATGAAGCGTCGTCGTTCACCCACGTCACGTGGCTTTGACCGTATTTCGCGAGATTTCTCACAGATACTATCTCGCGTGAATGTTAACCGGTCGACTCTATGGATCGATGGAAATATTATGAAATATTTCTACAAATACAATGAATACCGACCAGGTGCCACTGCCATGGATCTTCTATTCCCATCTTCTTCCTACACCATCCACGTTTCTCGTATTTTGTACTCTTCCGTCTTCTTCTCCTGTCGTCGTTTACGTGCTGCGTACGTGTGTATATGTATAATAACGAGAGAAAGAGAGTGAGAGAGATACGTGTGCCGCCGCGCGATAAATTCGTCGAGAAACTTTGGGCAGTTGCCAGGATGGATATTTAAAATTCTCCGCGGTCCTCGACGAAGCCTCCCCCTCCCAACCCCTCACCCTGGGTTTTTTTCTCTCCTCGTGTCCGGTGGAAAAGAAGAGAGAGGGAGAGGTATCGCAGTCTATGGATCTATAGATACTAATGGATGGGTTCATCAAGGCGGTTGCCAATCGAACCCGATTGCTATAATTACTCCTGACTACGGATGCATTATTCACGGTGGCCTGTCGTGGAGACGATTATGAATAATTTGATTCGGTTTTTTCGTTTCTGTTCATGAACGG